AGGCCCTAGGGCTTTACCTCTACTTAGGCTAGCAAAAGCCCTTATATAATAATATTTTGGCCTGCCGTTAATTGTTTATGAAACCGATGTTTGTGTTTTTCCAAACTTATCTTCGATCGGTCTCACTCACACACGGCATCGCCTTTGTTTTGGTGTGTGTGATGTGTAGAGTGTCTTGTATGAATATTTATATATACCATCGTTATTAATTATTCATGACCTGACGGAACTGGTGCCCATATAACGCTTACCCATTCTTTTCATTTAGATCTCCATTCTTCACTAACTCCATGCGACGTTTTTTTCTGTTGTATGAGTAGTCATATGAAGGTACTATATCCCCGACAGTTGGCTATGCAGCAATGTACCCTTTGAATGCAAATTATTGAAGACAAGTGAAGATATAAAGGCAGCCGACTGTCGGGTACATAACGACTATCTAACTTTCCACAAAAACATTAGGCCTAAGCTAGGCCTAGTTCAGTACAGTAGTTACTGCGATGCGAGGGTGGTTCAGTCAGTGATATTGTGTTATCGTCTAATACATTTTAATAATGTGTGTAAAATTTAAGAATGCACCGCGTGGGTCGCTTTCTCTTTGTTATGCGGTAGTAGTATACGTAACAGAGTGACGGCAGCAATCTAAGCCTAGCCTAGGGCCTAGATAGTATACATTCTTGATCATCGTAATGAAAACTTCGGGTGACAGACGATTGGGCCCAACTGGTGTGGACGATCGGACCCAAGATAGCTTCAAATAAATTCTACTCCTAGTAGGCCACTGCCACCACCCCCACTCATGATATCGTTCCAAACTACTGTAAAATTAAATTACTGTATACCTAGCTAGGCCTAGGCCCTATGCCTACATAATTTTTTCTAAGAAATTTCCTAAAAATATTACTGTATTTGCCTGTCGAATTACATTACAGTGTGGTCTAAAATCACTATTTTGGGCCATATAAGACTCCCCCTATATTTTTGAACCTCCACAAAAATTTGACCCAACACACACACACATATATAT